CGGGCACCTGTTAGTCCTAGTACTCAGGAGCTGAGACAGGAAATGCTTGAACGCTGGGAGGCAGAGTACAGTGAGCCAAGATCGTGCCACTGCACTCCAGCCTTGGCGGGACAGAACGAACGACTCTGAATCAATCCAAAGGAAAAAAAATTCATATTATCAAGAGGAAGAGTGAGAAGAGCTGAAGTTCCATGAAGTCAAGCAACTTTTTTATGTTTTAATTTATAGTTTTAAAAATTGAACAGGAAATCTTCACTCTTTAGGCTGGGAGTATAGTGTGCAAACACAGCTCCGCTGCAGCCTTGACCTCCTGGTTTCAAGTGATCTTCTTATCTCAGCCTGCGGTAGCTGGCTATAGGTTTATCCAGCCGGCGTATATACGTACGTGAGTCAGTGTAATTGCTGTGTGTCGTGCGGGTAATTCCTGGGCTCAAGCAATCCTTCTGGCTCAGCCTGCTCAAAGTGCTGGAATGACAGGCGTGAGCCACCACACCGAGCCTGCCCTTGTTTTGGAAGGCTGAGTCTAGTCCATTGTGATGGACTCGACCACGTTTTTGGTTTATCTGTTCCCCCATAGATGGGGAGGCTTAGGTTTGCGTCCACCTCTGGGCTATCCTGAACGTTGTAAATATGGCATGCAAACAGGCTTTTGAGTCTTTGCTTTCAGTTATTTGGGGATATACCAGGAGTGGCACTTGCTGGATCAAAAACACCTTTTCATTGATCCCAAAAGCACATATATATATATAAAATATACATGTGTATATATATATACACATACACACCACAATATATGTATTACATATATATACATACCATTATTATAAGATTTCAGTGAGTGGAAAGGATACTATATATATCTATCTATATATCTATCTATCTAGATATCTAGATATCTATATCTATATCTATATATTATATGAAGAGAGTATTATATATAGAGAGAGAGAGAGAGAAATGGACAGAGTCTTGCTCTGTTTGCCAGGCTGGAGTTCAGTGGTGCCGTTCGCTTACTCAACCTCCACCTCCCAGTACAAGTGATTTCTCCGTGCCTCAGCCTTGAGATAGACAGGTAGTACTACAGGGCATGGGACACCACCACGGCACCGGGACTAATTTTTGTGTATTTGTATTTTTAGTAGAGATGGGGTTTCTCCATGTTGGTCAGGCTGGTCTCAAACTCCTGACCTCAGGTGATCCGCCCGCCTCAACCTCCCAAAGTGCTGGGATTACAGATGTGAGCCACCGTGCCCAGCCCTCAAAAGCACAAGATTAAAGAGGTTACGGTCTTTTCTGCCTGCTCCCCCAAAACCCGTAGCTTCCCAGGGGACATCCTGGCTGAAGACTTCGCTGATCACGTCAGGAAGAATGAGAAGGACAGCAACTGCGGTTTTGCAGATGAGTACCAGGTGGGGATGGGACAGAAGGGCTGAGCTCAGCCTCCCTCCGGTGGCCTAATCCCCAATCCCCACCCCTTGGCCAGACCTCATGGCTTTCAGGATTAAGCAAAAGCAGCATCGCATAAGTCACTGGATTGTGCAGAGATTCCCAGGCATGTTATCTTTCCGCTCACTGACATCTTAAAATAATGGCGGGTCAGTCCTAAAGTAACTCTCTCCGCTCCCACCAAGTGAGTCCTTTCTCCCCTGACACCTGCTTTCTTGCCTGCCTGAGGAAGTCCCATGGTTCCCTAAATCCTCCTGAATGCCCCACAGGGCAGGTGGCACACATATGTTCTGTTTTGGTGGGTGCCATAGAATCTCAGGGTGCAAGTGATAGACAAGGGGTGATGTCGAAGAAGGCAAGGGGAGCTTGGGGGGTACCCTCGAGGGAAAGTAGAGAAAATCCAACACCAGGTACCGCCTCTGCCTGCACCCCCAGCAACTGTCCCTGGTGGACCACAGCCAGTCTCAGATGGTGGCGTCAGCTCCGGAGAACAACGGCAAGAACCGCTACAGAAATGTACTGCCCTGTGAGTCTCGGGCTTCTGCTGCTTTCGTCCCAGCCCCGATCTACTCAGTACCCCATCCCGGTCCCCTTCTCCTACCCACTTTGAGAGACAAGACCTGCCTCCTACCGTGGGAACCCACACACACTTTTTTCTTTTTCTTTTTCTTTTCTTTCTTTCTTTTTCTTTCTCTTTTTCTTTTCTTTTTTTTTTTTTTGAGATGAATCTCGCTCTGTCGCCCAGGCTGGAGTGCAGTGGCACGATGTCGGCTCACTGCAACCTCCGCCTCCCGGGTTCACGCCATTCTCCTGCCTCAGCCTCCCGAGTAGCTGGGACTACAGGCGCCCGCCACCTCGCCCGGCTAATTTTTTATATTTTTAGTAGAGATGGGGTTTCACCGTGTTATGCAGGATGGCCTCGATCTCCTGACCTTGTGATCCACCCGCCTCGGCCTCCCAAAGTGCTGGGATTGCAGGTGTAAGCCACTGTGCCTGGGCCCCCCTCCCCATTTTTTTCCTTTGAGACAGAGTCTTGCTCTGTTGCTCAGGCTGGAGCGAAATGGTGCCACCTCAGCTCACTGCAACCTCCACCTCTCGGGTTCAAGCAATCCTCCCACCTCAGCCTCCCTAGTAGCTGGGATTACAGGGCCCGCCACCATGCCTGACTAATTTTTGTATTTTTAGTAGTGACTGGGTTTCACCACGTTGGCCAGGCTTGTCTCAAATTCCTGACCTCAGGTGATCCACCCACCTCAGCCTCCCAAAGTGCTGGGATTACAGGCGTGAGCCACTGTACCTGGCTGTGGGTCCCTTTGAGAGTCCTCCTGGCCTGCTCCCTGCAGCTGGGGTCCCTCCGCCCCTCCCAATCCCTGCATGGCTCCCAGCGTCTGCCGGCATCTCAGCATGACTTCTGTCCATGGGTCTTGGTCTTGTCTCTGTGCCTCTCTGGGCCTCTCTGCCTGGCTAATGCTGGCCTCTTCTCCTAGATGACTGGTCCCGGGTGCCCCTGAAGCCCATCCACGAGGAGCCAGGCTCTGACTACATCAATGCCAGCTTCATGCCCGTAAGGTCGTGGTTGGGATTGAAAGGGTGCCCAGAAGGCCTGGAGAGATCAGAGCTGGCGGGGGGTCATCTAGAGGCCCCCCTGACCCACCTGCCTTCCTCAACCAGGGTCTCCGGAGCCCCCAGGAGTTCATCGCCACCCAGGGTCCCCTGCCACAGACGGTGGGTGACTTTTGGCGCCTGGTGTGGGAACAGCAGAGCCACACCCTGGTCATGCTGACCAACTGCATGGAGGCCGGCCGGGTGAGAGATCTGAGTCCTGGGTGCTGACTGGGTGCAGGACCCTGCCCCGAACACTGATCCAATGTAGACCCCACACCCAGACCTCACGGATTCCTCCAGGGTGACCCCGGGTGTCTTCAGTGTAGACCTATACCCCACTCTCCCCCCCGGCCCATCTGCTGGTTCACATATGGGGCCTAAAGCAGACCCCACAGATCTGGGGAAGAGGAGTTCTGTTCTCTGACCCCTCCTCCTCCCCCAGGTGAAGTGTGAGCATTACTGGCCTCTGGACTCGCAGCCCTGCACCCATGGGCACCTGCAGGTAACCCTGGTGGGTGAGGAAGTGATGGAGAACTGGACGGTGCGGGAACTGCAGCTCCTCCAGGTGCGTGTGTCCAGCCCCGTCCTGGCCCTCAGCCTTCTCCTATGACATATGCCATGCTTCCAGGACCCTCCACCAACTCCAAACTTCCACTCACTCCTCTGAGGAGCTGCAGCGTGCCCCAGGGAGCCCACTCCTAGTGGTAGAAGCCAGGTCCCCCTTACATTCATCTCCAGAGCCTGTGAGCGCTCCCTCCTTCCAGGTGGAGGAACAGAAGACGCTATCCGTGCGGCAATTCCACTACCAGGCCTGGCCAGACCACGGCGTTCCCTCCTCCCCAGACATCTTGCTGGCTTTCTGGAGGATGCTCCGGCAGTGGCTGGATCAGACCACGGAGGGAGGCCCACCCATTGTACACTGCAGGTGGGGACCAGCCCAGGACCCTTGGTCTTGAGAGAACCGCTCCCTTGGGGCTCAGACGGTGGTATTAGATGGGACCCTGGGAACTTACAGGGGAGGTGGAAGAGGGAGAGAAGGAGGAGGTGGATGCGGAAGATAAAGGGGGATGTGAAGCAGTTAAGGAAAGAAGGAGGGGCCGGGTGCGGTAGCTCACGCCTGTAATCCCAGCACTTTGGGAGGCCAAGGCAGTCGGATCACGAGGTCAAGAGATTGAAACCATCCTGGCTAACACAGTGAAACCCCATCTCTACTAAAAATACAAAAAACTAGCCGGGCGAGGTGGTGGGTGCCTTTAGTCCCAGCTCCTCGGGAGGCTGAGGCAGGAGAATGGCGTGAACCCGGGAGGCGGAGCTTGCAGTAAGCCGAGAACCTGCCACTGCACTCCAGCCTGGGCGACAGAGCGAGACTCCGTCTCAAAAAAAAAAAAAAAAGAAAAAAAAAGAAAAGGAAGATAAGGATGAAAAGATGGGAATGAAAGATGAAAAGGCAGGCCAGGTGCGGTGGCTCACGCCTGTAAATCCCAGCCCTTTGGGAGGCTGAGGCAGGTGGATCACTTGAGTTCAGGAGTTTGAGACCAGCCTGGCCAACATAGCGAAACCCTGTCTCTACTAAACATACAAAAATTAGCTGGGTGTGGTGGCAGGCACCTGTAATCCCAGCTACTCGGGACCCTGAGGTAGGAGAATCGCTTGAACCCAGGAGGCGGAGGTTGCAGTGAGCCGAGGTCACACCACTGCACTCCAGCCTGGGTGACTCTGTCTCAATTTAAGAAAAAAAAAAAGGAAAAAAAGAAAAATGAAAAGGTAAAGGCAGAGAAAGTTGAATGCAGAAGAGAAGGGAGAAAGGATGAAGGCGCAGGATGGAGATGTGGTCACAGATTCTGAGAAACATTGGACACATTTCCTTGTACTGGAGTGCAGGGCCTCCCCCATCAACTGCTTCCCTGATACTTATTTTTGTTTTATTTTATTTTATTTTATTTGAGATGGAGTCTTGCCCTGTCGCCCAGGCTGGAGTGCAATGGCACAATCTCAGCTCACTGCAACCTCTGCCTTCCAGGTTCAAGCAATTCTCCTGTCTCAGCCTCCTGAGTAGCTGGGATTACAGATGCTCACCCCTGCACCCGGCTAATATTTGTAATTTTAGTAGAGATGGGGTTTCACCATGTTGGCCAGGCTGGTCTCGAACTCCTGACCTCGTGATCCGCCCGCCTCGGCCTCCCAAAGTGCTGGGATGACAGGCGTGAGCCACCGCACCTGACGCTTTCCTGATATTTATGCTGAAGTCCCGTAGGTCAGATTTCAACTAACGGTAACTATTAGGGAGATGAGGAGGAGTGACAGCCCCTGAGACTGGGGCTCTGGTTTCAGTGACAGTGAACATTTACACAGTCCTACTGCTCTTCATAACAACCTCATGGCAAAATTGTCCTCCCCATTTTGTTTTATTTATTTATTTGTTTATTTTGGAGGCAGAGTTTCGCTCTCGTTGCCCAGGCTGGAGGGCAATGGCGCGATCTCGGCTCACCGCAACCTCCGCCTCCCAGGTTCAAGCGATTCTCCTGCCTCAGCCTCCTGAGTAGCTGGGATTACAGGCATGTGCCACCACGCTTGGCTAATTTTGTATTTTTAGTAGAGACGAGGTTTTACGGTGTTGGTCAGGCTGGTCTCGAACTCCCAACCCCAGGTGATCCGACCACCTCGGCCTCCCAAAGTGCTGGAATTACAGGCATGAACCACCACGCCCAGCAATGTCCCCCCCCCATTTTAAAGTTGAGTGGATATCATTACATCATTCCATTAGTATACATGTCCAGAAGCATATCTGGAACAGCCAAAGCAACAGACACTAAACAGATTAGTAGCTTCCAGGCCCTGGAGGGAGACAGGGAATGGGGAGAGGCGGCCTAATGGGCGTGGTGTCTGCTTTAGGGGTGATGAAAGTGTTTTGCAAGTAGATAGAGGTGGAGGCTGCACAATGTTGTGAGTGTGATAAATTGCTCACATTCAAATAGCTAAATTTTTTTTCTTTTTTTTTGGAGACGGAGTCTCGCTGTGTCACCCAGGCTGGAGTGCAATGGCTTGATCTCAGCTCACTGTAACCTCCGCCTCCCGGGTTCAAGCGATTCTCCTGCCTCGGCCTCCTGAGTAGCTGGGAATACAGGCGCCTGCCACTCCACCTGGCTAATTTTGGTATTTTTAGTAGAGATGGGGTTTCTCCATGTTGGCCAGGCTTGTCTCTAATGCCTGACCTCAGGTGATCCATCTGCCTCAGCTTCCCAAAGTGCTGGGAGTACAGGCGTGAGCCACTGCGCCCAGCCTAAAATAGTTAATTTTTTTTTTTTTTTTTTTTGAGATGGAGTCTCGCTCTGTCACCCAGGCTGGAGTGAAGTGGTGTGATCTTGGCTCACTGCAACCTCTGCCTCCCGGGTTCAAGCGATTCCCCTGCCTCAGCCTCTCGAGTTGCTGGGACTACAGGAGCATGCCACCATGCCTGGCTAATTTTTTTTTTTTTTTTTTGGTATTTTAGTAGAGATGGAGTTTCACCATGTTGGCCACGATGGCCTTGATCTCCTCACCTCGTGATCCACACACCTCGGCCTTCCAAAGTGCTGGGATTACAGGCGTGAGCCACTGTGCCCAACCTAAAACAGCTAATTTTTTCACTGGGCACAGTAGCTCATGCCTGTAATCCCAGCACTTTAGGGGACTGAGGTGGGAGGATCACTTGAGTCCAGGAGTTTGAGACCTGCCTGGGCAACATGGCAAGACCCCGTCTCTATAAAAACATTTAATAAGTTAGCCAGATGCAGTGGTGTGTGCCTATGATCCGAGCTACTCAGGAGGCTGAGACAGGAGGTTCACTTGAGCCCAGGAGGTCAAGGGTGCAGTGAGCCGAGGTCATGCCACTGCACTCCAGCCTGCGTGACAAACAAAACAAAACGAAAGACTAATTTTGTGTTTAAAGGAATTATTCAATGCTGGCTGGAGAGTTCTTCTTCCTGTGTTTGAACCCCAGCTCTGTCACTTGTTAGCTGAGTGGCCTGGGGTATGGGACTTCACCTCACTCAGCCTCCATTTCCCCATCTGTACAAAGGATGTGCTAGTACCTCCCACTTCTTAGGTTTGGGAGGAGCGAAGAAGGCCCATCAGGCACTTAGAACAGAGCCTAACAGATGGAAGGAACTCTAGGCATAGTTTTGTTGTTATTGCTGTTGTTGCTGCTGTTGTTTTTTGAGATGGAGCTTTGCTCTTGTTACCCAGGCCAGAGTGCAATGGTGTGATCTCAGCCCACTGCAACCTCCACCTCCTGAGTTCAAGCAATTCTTCACCTCAGCCTCCCAGGTAGCTGGGATTACAGGCGTGTGCCACCACACCCGGCTAATTTTTGTATTCTTAGTAGAGACAGTGTTTCGCCAGGTTGGCCAGGCTGGTCTCGACCTCCTGACCTTGGGTGATCCACTGGCCTCAGCCTCCCAAAGTGCTGGGATTACAGGTATGAGCAGGCATAGTTATTGTCATCATTCAAACACAGATCCCTCCAATCAGCCATGACCCCGGACCCTCGCACTCCTGCCGCCTTGGTCTGACCCTTCCCTTGTTCTGCCTAGCGCTGGCGTGGGTCGCACAGGTACCCTCATTGCCCTGGACGTCCTGCTCCGGCAGCTGCAGTCCCAGGGTCTCCTTGGGCCCTTCAGCTTTGTGAGGAAGATGAGAGAGAGCCGGCCGTTGATGGTGCAGACTGAGGTGAGGCAGCCCCTCAGCGACACAGGACGGGAGTCGGTGGGTGGAGGTACCCTGGGGCTCCACACAGCCCAGATTTGGGGGGAGGCCCCTCACTCCCATGCCCGTTTCCCAGGCTCAGTACGTGTTCCTGCACCAGTGCATCCTGCGGTTCCTCCAACAGTCAGCCCAGGCCCCAGCCAAGAAGGAAGTCATTTATGAGAGTGTCGAAAATCTCATCTATGAGAATGTGGCCGCCATCCAGGCCCACAAGTTGGAGGTCTAAGTGACGAGAGGGCTGGGTCGGCAGCCCAGGCATCCTCAAGCTCTGAATGCCCACTTGAGCCCAGATTCCTAGAAGAGCAGAAGGCTGGGCTCCCAGACTCCTAGGCGCTGTGGGAGGAGGAGACTGGGATCCCAAACTCTGGTGTCCCCAGGAGAGAGTGGTCTGATGGGCTTCAGATGAACCCTATGGGAGCTGGGGATCTGGATTTCTGGTTCCTTGAAGGAGAGAGATGGTAGCTTGGACTTCCTAGGTCTTTCAGGGAGGAGGAAGCTGGGAGTCCAGGATACGGGAAGAAACAGACTAGAGCCTGGATTCTGAGGCAGGAAGGAATTTGGGTCTGGAGTTCTGGCTATTTGAGGACCAAAGGCAGGCAGGATCCTGCCCTGCTTTTACTTCAGAAACCAAATCAGTCTTCTATAATCTGAGGTCGGAGGGAGTCCCTGTGCCCAAGGTCTCCCTGCACCCCACCATCCACATATATTTTTCCTTCTATCCCATAATTTATTAAATCACTGTTCTCCCCAGAGACAGTTGTCCCATGGATTTCTGGGTCCGGAAATAATATTGGGTTGGGAGTAGGGACGGGTTCCTGGTATCTAGGGATAGAGGCAAACGTCCAGGAGGGGACTAGAGGGACCCACACATTGGCACATGAAAAAATGTAGGTTTGGGTGGTTGAGTCTCTCAGAGAAGGCAGAGTCCAGACGTCTGTGTCCAGGATCTGGGCAGTATGGACAGGGCTCGCCGGAGCTAGGTACTTGGGGACTTGTTTTCTGAGCTTTTCTTTTCTTTTTTTTTTTTTTTTGAGACGGAGTCTCGCTCTGTCGCCCAGGCTGGAGTGTAGTGGCGCGATCTCAGTTCACTGCAAGCTCTGCCTCCCGGGTTCCCGCCATTCTCCTGCCTCAGCCTCCCAAGTAGCTGGGACTACAGGTGCCCGCCACCTCGCCCGGCTAGTTTTTTGTATTTTTAGTAGAGACGGGGTTTCACCATGTTAACCAGGATGGTCTCGATCTCCTGACCTCGTGATCCGCCCGTCTCCGCCTCCCAAAGTGCTGGGATTACAGGCTTGCGCCACCGCCCCCGGCCCTGAGCTTTTCTTTTACTCTTTTTGTTGTTGTTGTTGTTGTTTTGTTCTGTTTTTGTTTTTGTTTTTGAGACATGGTCTTGCTTTGTTGCCCAGTCTGGAGTGCAGTGGCTTACCGCAGGCTTGACCTCCTAGGCCCAGGTTATCTTCCCACCTCAGCCTCTAGAGTAGCTGTGATCACAGGTACGCACCACCACGTCGGACTCATTTTTGTAGAGACAGGATTTTGCTATGTTGCCCAGGCTGGTCTCCAGCTCCTGGGCTCAAGCATTCCTCCTGCTTCGACCTCCCAAAGTGCTGAGATTACAGGTGTGAGTCACCGCACTGGCCGCCTCTTGGGACTGCTGTTAGGGGAACTTAGAGGGCGATGTCTGGGGGCTGATAGCTGGGTACTTTGAGGCTGAACCCCGCAGAGTCTGGGTCTCTAGTGAGCGTCTAGGGTCTCCTAGGTCCTAGGACTGAGTATCCTGGCATGCCGTTCTTCGGGCTATACAGGGTGTATGTCGTGTGTGTTGGGGCGGGAGGAGCGGAGTGGTCTGGACGGCCAACGACTGGACCAGAAGGCAGAAAATTCTAAGGCACCAGGATAAGTATCTGTGGGCGTCATCGAGGTTCCCGGGTGGAGGCGGGAGGAGGGGCTGGGCGGGGCTTTCCGCCTACCCGAGACCAAATACGGGCACACACAATACACACCACACACGCGCGCACGGGATCCGGCTTCGCTCCGCGGCTCCCCCGCCCGGCCGAGCTCCGCGATCAGCACCCGGGACAGCGCCACCGCCCACGTGCGGGGGGCGGGGTCCGGGCGGGGCTGGCGCCTCCGCGTCTCCCGGGAGCTTCCCGTCCAGCCGCGGAGCAGGTAGGAGCTGCTGGGACCCCCGCCCTCAGCCCATCCGCATCCGCATCCCTAGAGGCAAGGGGTGTGGGAGTGGGGGCTGGGGCACTGGGGGGACCAACAGAGACAGTGGGAGGGCTGGAGCCTGAAGCGGAGAGACACAGATTTGGGGACGCGAGTCAGGTATGGAGAAGACAAAGAGCCGAGGGCGCGGAAGGGGGCGCAGGCGCAACGAAGGGGGAGAGACCCTGGGGACAGAGGCCAGGCGATAGGCAAGAGAGACGGGCAGAATGGGGAAGCAGACACAGGGAAGACGCCTATTTGGGGTCAAGAGACAGCGTGGAGACCGAGGCGGTCACGAGAGCAGGTGTGAAGACAGCACGGATGCGTGGAGAGACCAACAGGCAAAGAAGGATGAGGGGTGCTCAGCACAGGCACCGGGCAGCCCCCGACCCGCCCTCCAGCAAAACTGGGGAGAGGGAAGAGGGAACCTGCACCTCAGCTCCCAGGACCAGGTGCGGAGGGAGCAGTCGGCTGTGGCCGCTCGGACCACAGGCTGCCCCTCCCCACCTCGCGGGACCTCAGGATCCCAGTCGGGCTATCGGGGGGTTCCCAGGCACCAGTGGGCCCCGGAGAGAGCCTGCCCCGCCGGGACTCCGCGTCTGTGCGTCAGTCCCGCCCGTTATCCTGGCAACAGACCGTTGCCCGGGCAACCAGCTTTGCTCCCACCCCGCTCGAGAGGAGCCAGGCTGTTGCTCTGGGCAACGCGGTCCGCTGGTTCCCACGCCTGCCTTCGCCCGCTTCCGGTTCAGGCCCTGCGGAGGGGCGAGGACAAGGCAGAAGTCAGCGGAATGCCTGTGGGGCCGTGGAGGAAGAGGGTATCCCTTTGGGATTCAACTAGGTCCTGGACACCCCCCCTCTCAAGCGCAGGGAGGCTGAAACTACAACTCCCAGCATGACTCGCGGTGGCTGTCCGGTTTCTGCGCGGCTGTTCGTGCATGGGCCTCATGGGAGTTGGAGTTCTTTGTTGTGCGTGGGGCTCAATGGACGTCTGGGGTGGGAATGGGGGACTAGGGTGCTTGAGTGCCTCTGCAGAAAAGACTCTAGGAACCCGCCACCATGTTCCCGGAGCCCCCAACCCCGGGGCCTCCATCGCCCGACACGCCTCCCGACTCCAGTCGCATCAGCCACAGCCCCGGTGAGCAAGACCCGGGGGAAGACGGTGGGGGGTGGTGGGGGGCGAGCAGAGAGAAAGCCTGGCCAGGATTCCGAGGGGCAGGATTCGGACGGGTGTACTCGGGCAGGCGGGCTGGAAAATCCGGCTGGGATTCCGGGTCGTCATCCTGGACTAGAACGCGAAAGAAATCGGGAAAAAGGAAGGAACAAATTTGCAACAAAAATCGAAACCGGATCGAGGGGTGTTGTATGGAATGGGATCTTAGAATTGGATGGTCCACCTAGCCCTTCTTTTACAGATAAGGAAACAGGCCCGATGAGGAGCAGGGCTTCTTCTAAAAAGCATCAGGAGTTGAGCAGAAATGGGGGGCGGGGGCGGGTAAGGAAAGGCAGAACTAACAGGCAAGCAAATCCAGATGGTGTCAGCCTGGGTTAGGGCATCGAATCTCTCTATAGGCCACATTAGGTGGAAGAAAAACGCGGAAAGAAATGGAATGAAAATGGCTGGAGGGAAAAGGACGCCAGCATTCCAGCTTCCGCGCGCTGCACTGGCCTCAGTGTGTGTTGTCTCCACCCCTCTGCAGTGCCCCCCTGGGCCCTGGCCACCATCGTGCTGGTCTCAAGCCTCCTCGTCTTGAGCTGCTGTTTCTGTCTCTACCGGAAGCGCTGTCGGAGGCGGACGGGCAAGAAGAGCCAGGCCCAAGCCCAGGTCCACCTTCAGGAAGTGAAGGGGCTGGGCCAGAGTTATATAGACAAGGTGTGGCCCGGCCCAGCCCCTCTACCCGGCCCCTTCCCGCACCCTGCTCCTCTCAATGGCCCAGCTGGTCCCAGTCCCTGCTCCCTTCCCTCCTATAGGAACCCACCTTACTGGCTCATCCTCCCTGTGTGTCTAGCCCTCAACTGGACTCTGGGGACCTGGAGATGGAACAGAACTAGCTGCTGTTCACAAGAACCTCCCAGTCTGGTGGGGTAGTCAGGCACTGACACAGACACTCACCACACAGGGTAATATGTGCGTACTACAGGGTCTCATAGGAGCACAGAAAAGGCATCCCACTGTATAGAAATCTACAGAAACGTATAAATATTTGGCTCTGGGCCAGGTGCGGTGGCTCACACCTGTAATCCTAGCACTTGGAAGGCTGAGGTGGGCAGATTGCCTGAGGTCATAAATTCTAGAGTAGCCTGGGCAACATGATGAAACCCTGTCTCTACTTAAAATACAAAAAATTAGCCAGGCGTGGTGGCATGGTATAAACCCAGCTACTCGAGAGGCTGAGGCACTGAAACGGGGAGGTATAGGCTGCAGTGAGCTGTGATCGCGCCACTGCACTCCAACCTGGGTGACAGAGCAAGATTCTGTCTCCAATAAATATATAAATAAATAAATAAATAAATAAATAAATAAATAAATAAATGGCTTTGAAAGCTGAAAACCAGCTTTGTGCCAGAATACTTTAAAATGTGCTGATTCCTTTTGGAGAATGAGACGTATTTACACTAAGAAAAATTTTATTTATTTATTTATTTTTATTTTATTTTTTTTTTTTTTTGAGACGGAGTCTCGCTCTGCCGCCCAGGCTGGAGTGCAGTGGCCAGATCTCAGCTCACTGCAAGCTCCGCCTCCCGGGTTCACGCCATTCTCCTGCCTCAGCCTCCCGAGTAGCTGGGACTACAGGCGCCCGCCATCTCGCCCGGCTAGTTTTTTGTATTTTTTTAGTAGAGACGGGGTTTCACCGTGTTCGCCAGGATGGTCTTGATCTCCTGACCTCGTGATCCACCCGTCTCGGCCTCCCAAAGTGCTGGGATTACAGGCTTGAGCCACCGCGCCCGGCCAGAAAAATTTTAAAACAGAGGATCAGACAGAGGAGCATGGTGGAGGTGACGTCTGCACTGAGACCCAAGGAACAGAGTTAACTGAGACCAGAGAGAAGGACATTCTAGTCCAAGTTGGAGCATGTGTTGAGGCCGCATATCCAGATTCAGGCCCCATATCCAGATTCTGAGGCTTATTTGGGGAACAAAGAGTCGTTTTTCACAATAGCTGCACTCTGGAGTGAAGTGTCTGGAGAACTCAGCAGTATCCACGTCATGAGGGTGATGAAAGCTACAAATATGTTTTGAGCATGAGAGGGACAGGGTCAGATGGTGTTAGGATGACTCCTCCGGAACCCCCATGTAGGACAGATCTGCGGCGAGGAATCCAGGGAGGAGGCCAGTGCAGCAGCAGCTCAGAGAGGATAAAAGAGATTTGCATTGGACAAGGCTGTTGGAATGGAAAGTGGTCACCGCAGGGTCTGAAAATTAAGTCTGTCAGTGCAGAGTGCAATGTTTGCCTGGGAGCCAGACAGCCCTAGGTTTCCAACCAAAAGAGACCATTTCCCGGTTGTGTGACCTTGGAGAATTCACTGTCCCTCTCTGAACCTCAAGT